CCGAGGCTGGGAGAATTTCCAAGAATGTTCTCCATGTTCCATCTACTTACTTGAGGCAGGATGGATTTTACTTATTAATGGATTAAGCTGTGTTCTGACACTGTGTGCATTTCTAGATTTTCTGATACCACATAGCCTACTTATGGACTATCAGTTTTTAGATATTTATTTCTCCATATGTTTACCTTAGAAAATAGAGGCAGAAGTTTTTGTCTCCCCTGTCCACTGCTCCCAAAGAATCTGTGGCAGAAGCCACTAGCTGTCTCCCAAATCCATTCTCTCCTTCATAGAGAACAGTTGGCAGGTGCACGGCTCTTATTTCCCAGATGCCCGGCAGTTTGTGTGGCCACGTGACTGCCCGTGGAATATGCTCAGAAGTGATGAGCAACACTTCCGGGTTTCGCCCCACAAAACTTCCCAGGCTGTCCTTTCTCCTTCTGTCGGCTACATGCGGATGACAGGCCCACAAGAGAGAGAAACTTTGGGTCCCTGAGGGATGTGTGGGGGAAGGTTGCCTTGCCCACCTCTATACCCACCCCAGAACTGTTACATGACCAAGAAATAAACTTTTTGTCTTAACCTTCTGGAATGTTCAATCACCTTGTGACCACAGCTTAGCTAAATCTAAACATTAACCATGAATGCCATCGTAGTGCATTCTCACTCAATCCTTTCTCTATTTTGTGTTTTCATGGAGAGTTCACAACAGTGACTTTGTATCTTATTTCTTGTAAGTATTTTTCTATGTTCTTATGAATTCTTCATAACTTAATGGTTGCAGTATCCCATAAAGTAGCTGGCTAGACCATAATTCACTTACTATTGTGGACATTTAGTTTGTTTCTAATTCTGTCTCCACTTTAAATAATGTTATAATAAACATTTTTATGCAGAAGCCTTATTCTGTAGTTTGAATCATTTTTAAAAACATCACCAGAATTGGCAGCAACCAAAGGTTATAAACACACTGTTGAACTTCTTTTCACAAAGACTGAATCAAGTACATTACTATCATTAATGAGTGTGTTCATCAGATTTTGCAAGCAGATTTTACAAATGTGTTAGTATAAACCTGTTAATTTTTAAAATTCCCCCATCTTCTATTTTGCACTAAAAAAGATTTTTTAATTTATTTTTCTTTTTTGAAGATTTTATTTATTCATTTGAGACAGAGAGAGAGAGAGAGAGCATGAGCAGGGAGAGAGGCAGAGGGAGAGGGAGAAGCAGGCTCCCTGCTGAGCCAGGAGCCTGATGTGGGGCTCGATCCCAGGACCCTGGGATCATGACCTGAGCTGAAGGCAGACGCTTAACCATCTGAGCCA